AAATAAATAAATAAAAACAAGAACAGGTTATATCCTACAGTGTGGTGGTACAAATTCTGGGATGTTCACTGAAGTAGGGTTTTACTAGTTTGGAAGGAAAAGAAGATGGTGGGTCATGGTTAGCACAACTGTTATTATGAATGCTCCTTTAATCCAACTGTCTACTCAGGAGGAAATCCCACCCGCTATTTTGCTTGGTGAGGCTTCCTTCCAAGTAATTGTGTACAGAACTCATTTCAGCCTTAATTTTTTAGAGAGTTTTCCTCCCTGAGTGGGACATGGTGGCGCTGTGGTCTAAACCGCAGAAGCCTGTGCTGCAGGGTCAGAAGACCTGCAGTTGTAAGATCAAATCTACGCGACGGAGTGAGCTCCCGTCGCTTTGTCTCAGCTCCTCGCTAACCTAGCAGATCGGAAGCATGTTAATGCGAGTAGATAAATAGGTACCATCTTGGTGGGAAGGTAAAACGGCATTCCCTAGTCACGCTGGCCACGTGACAACGGAAACTGTCTTCGGACAAGCGCTGGCTCTATGGCTTGAAAAACGGGATGAGCACCACCCCCTAGAGTCGGACACGACTGGACTAAAAATGTCAAGGGGAACCTTTACCTTTCCTCCCTTATTCCATGGATGGCTGAAGTTAATAACTGTCTTAATCTTCTTTGGGCCTAATCTTTTTCAGTAAACATTTGAATTACTATTTCTTAAGAAGACTGCTCAGGAGTCTTGGTGCAATTTTGCATGAACATTTTTTGAGAGGGGTGTATGTGCTCAGACTGATCCAGTCTAAACAGGTAGCTTGAGCTCCATGTTTTCCCTATTCCACTCTTCATGTCATGTGATATATCACAGCAAAGTGGCTGTATAACATGGAAAAATGAAATTTTTGTGACTCAGGGTGAGAAACTGCAAGGTTCACTTTCACAGAAGCAACCTTAAAGCAACGTTTCCATCTGTCAAGGAATTGCTCCAGCTCAGTCCCAAAAAAGGTCCATCTTGGGCATGGATCAGGGTCAGACTAGAGCACATTTCCCTGTATGGGATTGCCATGACTGCAAGGTATGGGTGCAACAGACTCCTTCACAAATTGGACAAATTATGATCTATTTCCCTGTATAATGACACCCCCAATTCCCATCATGCTAAGGATTATGGGAATGGTACTTCCCCCCAAAAATTGCTTTTCAATGCCCTAGAATGGTAGTAAAATGGCTACCAAATATTGCTGTTCCTTTTGAGAGAGAGAGGATGACGTGTGACTTTCTGTGGGAAGTGTGTCCCAATCATTATTTTGTGCCTTCCTGTCACACTTATAGCTCAGATCAGTTTCTTCCCATTAAAAGAAAAATTTTCAGGAATTTTATCTTGTAATCACACATACTCTTGACATCATTCCTTTTGTTTCACTATAACCTGGGCACAGATAGCAATTTTCCAGCTCATTTGTGGGTGGACATGACAGCCATTAAAAGGAAAAAAAACAATCATGCATCCATCTCTGGAGAGGAAAGATCTAAGAGTTCAAAGAAGGAGAAAAAGGAAAAGAAAATGGATGCTCTGATAGTCGAGAAAGTGGCAAAGTTGTGTTTAACATACATTACTCCCATCAAAGTAACATATTTTTGATTAGAGGTCTGAATGAAGCACATACGTATAGAGTTATATTTGGTCTCTCCAAACCCTCACCGCAGCCATTTGGCAACAAAACATGAGTCTGGACAACAAAAAACTTAAACATAATTTGATCTCAAATCTATGTGGAAATTCAGATTTGAAAAATCTCAGACATGTATAGGCATAGGAATATTGTGTTGATGTTAGAAATACTCTGCTGGGCAAGCCTGCAATAAATAAAGTGTATGACAGTGAGTAGGGGGTGTGTGTTCTTACCTGCTGAAATAAATTTGAACTTTAGATAAATCAGAATTTTAAAATTTCCCCATAATTGTAATTCACACAAAATGTTGCTTTTATTTACAAATTCAGCTACCCTTAATGTTGTACACATTGTTGACACCTCTCTGTCCCATGGTTTCTTCACATCCCCGTGATGTTTACTTACAATCCAGTCATCTGTTCCTGAGATTTGAAAATCCTATTAAAAAGAATTGCTGAGGCATTTTTGGAGACCAAATTGTTTCTTCCTTCATCCTTAATTAGGAACCAAGAATGAGTTGCAGTTCCTTCAGCCTGCTGGCTGGCGGTAGTGGTGGTAACATCAAGAATGGATAAGACTGGGCGAGTGTTCAGTTAAAATGAGGGTTTGATAAGAATGTTCCAAGACTCCCCCCGCCCTGATAATTTGATGGAAAGAACTTGAGATTTAAAACTACTGAATGTGGGGGAAAGCAAAAAGGTCCCTTTCACCCAAGCAAAGGACTTTGAGTGCTTCGTTTTATACAGTTTGCATTGCCACCTCCTTCTTTTCTACCTGGCTTCTTTCTCCCCTTTAACATCTACATGACAACAGACAGGCAGAACATTATCCTCTACACAATGAACATGACTATACCTATTGAATCTGGCCTGTAAAAATGGTTAAACCTTTTGTTCCATGCATTTTTTTAATTTTTAAAAATTCAGATTTGCACATTTCTTTGGAACGTGGACAGGAAGAAGTTGAGATCGAAAACATCCAAATGAGAGAAAGAGAGAGAGAGAGAGAGAGAGAGAGAGAGAGAGAGAGAGAAACTCATAAATGCATTCGTTTCTGACAGGATACACAATTTATTTATTTATTCAATGCATTAATTTTCAAAATCCCATCTCTCTGCTTAATAACTTGTCAAGAGGTCTAACAGTATATGTTGTTGTTGTTGCTGCTGCTGCTGCTGTTATGTGCTATCAAGTCACCTCTGACTTATGGTGACTCTACGAATTATCAATATCCAAGATGTCCTGTCCCCAACATCCTTGCTCAGCTCTTGCAAATGCAAACCTATGGCTTCCTGTAGGGAATCAGTCCATCTCGTATTGGGTCTTCCTCTTTCCCTGCTGTCTTCCACCTTTCTCGGCATCATTGTCTTTCCCAGAGAATCCTGCCTTCTCATTATGTGTTCAAAGTAGGACAGCCTCAGTTTCAACACTTTTTGCCTCAGTATAATAATATATAAATTATACAAAGCCATCAAAAGATAACACTTCACACTCAATGAGTGAAAAGGGCTCTTTCCCAAAATCTAGACCAACTACTAAGACAAGATTTGTATATATAACCTCTCACTCACCTGGAGTTCTTGATGAAGCACCAGATGAAAGATACCTTTACAGTGTTTTTTGGAGGAGGACAGGTGAGTAAATAGAGGAGAACTTGGATTTAAATGCCAAGGGAGTAGGATGGACCTGACTGTTTCCCCGTCTGATGCATCATCACAGCTTTGGAGGCTCTGCTGTGACTCAAAGCCGTGGCTGTGTATCTTCTGATCTCTCCTCCAATAAGAAACCCACGTGAGGTGTTCAACAGGCCAGCCTGCTGACAGGTCCACCCTCCACCTCTTCATATTATTATGTCTCTTGCAGCTTTGCTAAGAGGTATTTTCACACAGGGTTCATCTTAGGGCAGAAAGGAAGAGACCATGTAATTACCTGTTCTAAAAATGGAGGTTGGGAGTGGGGGAAGAGAGCAAACTGCTGCTGTTACAGAAGACTGTACTGCCTTCTGAGTGATATAGTGATGGTGATGCTACTTCAAGAACGGGGTGGGGGAAGGAAAGGAATTGGAAAGGAATTGTTTATAATCATAGGAAGATAAACACCAGGAAAACCTAAAATGCAGACTCATCACACCCAAGAGGAAAATCAAGGTTCCTTGTCCATCCATTAAAAGCAGATATATCCTTCATTTTCCCTGGGAAGTTCCTGTTTGCTTTATTGATGGATGGATGGATGGATGGATGGATGGATGGATGGATGGATGGATGGATGGATGGATGGATGGATGGATGGATGGATGGATTCATTCATTCATTCATTCATTCATTCATTCATTCATTCATTCATTCATTCATTCATTCATTTGCTTCCTAAATTCCACTCCAAAATGGGACTTAGAATGTCCCTTTTCTGTTTCCTGCACTCCCTGACATCAGGGCTGGCTCAGCAATTAGTTGAAGTAAGGCTGTTGCTTTAGGCGGTATAGCCTTGGGAAGGTCACCTCCAAGTGATGCTGAATTTCAGCTTGGCTCATCCCTAACCTCTATATAAGACTGCCTCTGGAAAATGTCAGGAAACATCCAAATACTTGACCAGATTGCTCACTGGGCT